TCACCTCAGCCTCCCAAAGGCGCGGGATTACAGGCTGAGCCACTGAGCCCGGCTGTTTTTGTTTGTTTGTTTTTAAGTTGGAGTCTCACTCTGTTGTCCAGGCTGGAGTGCAATGGCATGCTCACAGCCTCCACCTGCTGGACTCGGGCAATCCTTCCACCTCAGCCTTCAAAGTAGTGGAAACTACAAGTGCACACCACCATGACCGGCTAATTCTTTTTTTAAATTTGTTGTAGAGACGAGGTCCCACCAAGTTGCTCAGGCTGGTCTCAAACCCATGGGCTCAGGTAATCCTCTGGTCTCTGCCTCCCAAAGTGCTGGATTACAGGTGCGAGCTGCTGTGCCCAGTGTTTTTTTAACTCGATGATGATGTTCCTGACCAGAAGGCTGTGGCTGACCTGCAGCCCCCTGACGTGAGCATGTTTTTCTGGGTCGATATCCAAGTCCTGGGTTCAGGGCCCTGGGGGGTGCTGCCTTGTAACTGGAAAGGAGCCTCCATGTCCCTGTCTCCTCTGAGCTTCACACACCCCGCTCTGTCCCTCTGGGATGGCCAGGGAAGCCGAGGCTCGGGGAACTGTGGCATCAGGACCCTGGGGACACTAAGAGCCAGCCCTCCTCACTGGCTCAGTTGCCCCTCTGGGAAGCTGGGAGGGCTCCAGGTGAGAGCCATGGAGTTCACTTCCTGCCAGGTGACCTGGGGGGAGGGAAGCTTCCAGGAGACATCCAGGGAAGCTGGATGCAGGCAGTGTCCTGTCAGCCCTGCGAGGCAGACACCTTGTGGGTACACATGAGGGTCACGTCCCTATTACACAGGAAAGGAAATGGACACAGGGCAGTGCTCAGAATGCTCTGGCCCTAAAGCTTGTGGCTTGGCCGTCCCTGGTTGCCACCTCTGCGCCTTGCCAGCACCTTGGTCAGATGCTTTCACCCGGGAAGAAGTGGGTGCTGGGAACTGGGGCTGAGAGTGGCTCTCTGGGGCCAGCACATGGGAGGCATTGGGGCAGGCCCACAGGCTGGGGCGTGGTTTCTGGATGCCCTGCCTCAAGGCCTCCGCTTCTCCATCTGCAATAGCGAGTTGGATTCCTGAGCTTTTTCGGCCCTAAGATCCCGATTCTGGGGAAGTCACTGGGAGCGAGCGGCTAGGAGAGGCTGGGACAGGTGACCTCAAGGAGAGGAGGGCTCTGCCCATCCCTCGAGCCCTCAGTTTCTCCGTCTGTCCAACAGAAAGCCTGCAGTTCCAACATCACGAAGCTGCCCGTCCCTTTCTTCATGTGACGTGCTGCTGAAGCCCCGTGCACAGACCTGCCCGAGACAGCCCACCCTGAGGTCAGCCCATCCAGGTTCAAGTTCTGTGCTGGCTGCACACAGATCCCCGAACTGCTCAGTGCCTCCATGACCCTGCTAACTGGACAGAGTGATGTCAGCGGCTCTTGAGGTGGGCGCCACACTCGCTGTCCAGAAGAGCCCCACAGACCCCACGCTCTCTCCCCTCCCCCGCCCCACTCACCCAGCGAGGCCAGCATGTCGTGCAGGTCCTCCTTGTCGATGAAGCCGTCGCGGTTCTGGTCGATCATGTTGAAGGCCTCCTTGAACTCCTGGATCTGGGACTGGTCAAACATCGCGAAGACATTGGACGTGGCCCGCTGTGGCCGCTTCTTGGTGGTCTTGGCCTTGGCCCGCTTGCTGGACATCTTGGCTTCAGGTGGGTGGGCTTCCCTGCAGAAAGCGGGTGGGGCCGTATGGCTCTGGGAATTTCCCTGCCTTCCTCAGACTGGCCTTTAGCTCCTGGCCTGGCATTCAAGGCCTCCCACAGGCCTGGGCTCCTGCCTTTCCAAGCCCAAGTGTCCCCCCGGGAATGGAGACAGCAGGACTGCCCAGCAGTGGGGATTGGCTGTGTTGGGGCCATCCCCTGGAACCATGCCGGGCATGGAGTAAGCTATTTCTGCTGTGACTGCTTAGGATTGGGCTTGGTGCCAGCCACCAACAGGCTTTTTCTCCCTTAATCCTTAGTAGCATTTACACTGTCCATCTCCTGTGCAAGATACACAGTGGGCGACACGTGGGAGGCGGTAAGGGCCCCGCCTGGGCCTCGGGAAGGAGCGGGATCGGCAGCCCGCGTTCCCCGCATTCCTCGTCCTCCCGCCACATCCCATGCTGCCCAAGGAGGCTCTGGGCAGCTGACCCCTGGCTGCCCACCTCAGGGAGCTTGAGCTGCCTGGTGGGTGACAAACTGAGCCTAGGCCCTCCTCATCCTCACTCCCTAGTGCTTACAGGATATGAGGTGCTCTCAAGCAGAGAAGCCCGGCTCCTCAGCCTCCGGCCAGTCTCTCCCATCCACACGGACCCAGGTTTGCACCTGACACTTCCAAGCCCTTGAAGGGTCTTGCTGCCCCTCAGAGGGAGTCCGGGTCCCTAGGCCTGGCATTCAAGGCTTGTGTGAACCCTCCCTGGCCTCTCTCTGAGTCCCCAGGCACCCGTCCTGGTGTCTCTCTGTGGCCTCGGATCCTGCTAAACTGGCCCCTGGCTGTTTCCAGCCACACCCCGACTGGTCTCCTCGGCTCCTCCCATAGGGCTCTTCCCTCTCCAGCCCAGTTTTGAGAGCCCCTCCCCAAGCTGTTCCCCTCTCCTTGGCTTTCACAGTAAACATTTAAAGATCTCCCTCCCTCACGATCAGGACGAGCACAAACCCCATCTACACCATTCCCCAGGCCACAGTGGGGCTGACAGATACTTGTATAATGAATGTCCGTATGAGCGCAACTGCTGCCTCCACCGTGCTGACGGGGGAACGGGGACCAGGCAAGGGACTTGTTCCCTACCGTAGTCACAGCTTGTGGGACTGTGTGCCTGAGGGCCTCGTGCCTTCTCCCTCTCACTGGGGCAGTGGTGGGCCTGGATCAGCCCCCAGACTGCTGCCCCCTCTGCCCTTAGCCACGTGGTCTGGGGCCTCCACGAAGCTTCTCTGCCTGTGCTGCCCGTTTTCTCATCCCAGATGTGCGCGGTTGTGAGTGTTGAAGCTGTTTCCAGGCCTTCATCCCATGACCCTGTTCAAGTCATTCTTGGTCCTTGGTCTCTGTGGTCTGCAGCCCTGAGCTGGGATCCCGGCCAGCCCAGCCCCGGCCTGTTCCCCAGAGTCACGGCTGCCTGTAGTCACGAGACAGTGGCTGCCTGTCTTCCTGGACTAAGATGCCCAGCCATCGGTGTCTCCTGAATGGCTTAGTGGGTAGACCAAAACCCCTGGCACCATGCTTGGAGTGGGAGGGGAGGTGCGGAGGTGCTGAGCCTCCTGTGATTTGGAAGGTTCTGATCCTGTGTCCAGTGTTCTGGGAATGTGGACTCCTGGCACCCACAGAAGGCTGAGCACAGAGGAGCAGGGTGCTGTGCCTGGCAGAGGCCATGGGGCCAGCACTGTCACCACCACCCTCCTACCCGTCCCCGCTCTCTGCCATGATATGGCCAGGGACACCGTCCTTGAGGTTTGCACAAGGCTGCCACGTCCGCCATGGCAGTCCTGGAAGGCGAGGGGTGGGGTGCAGTTAGGAGAGCAGGCCCCAGAAAGGAAGTGCCCAGGGGAGGGGGAGGCTGGTGGAAGCCGGACCCCTGGGCTAGGTTTGGGTCAGTGCGTGGCATACCTGGCCCTGGCTGCTCTTGAGCCTGAACAAAGAAGGAACCATCTGCCCAGAGTGACGGGGACAGAGACAGGCTGGGCTTTGAGCCTGGAGCCATCACTTCCCCTCCCAGGGCCCTAGACACCAGGGTTGTCCCTGACACTTGGCCTGGCTGCGACTAGGTGCTGATGGCCACATCCCACCCGTTGTCAGCAATGCCGTGGGCTGAAGCCAGACCCAACCTAGGCCCCACTCCCGCACAGTTCCCAGGGCTGGGCACCTCCCTCAGTCACCCCACTCATCCCTCAGGGCAGCTGGAGGGCAGGGAGAGCGTTCTGCCAGCCCTGGGCCCTGGTCCGCAGTGAGACCTCCCACCGCAGGCACCAGGGGCAGACGGCCCAGAAGGTAGGCTCGTCTGTGGCATACAGCACGTGTGTGCCAGAGGCTCCTTGGCCACCTGCCTCTCTCCTGCCCCAGGGTGTAGGGACGGGGGCGGGGATGCTCTGGGGGGCATG